TTCACATGCTAGCAAGGTTATGCTCAAAATCCTACAAGGTAGGCTTCAGCAGTATTGGTATCGAGAACTCCCAGAAGTACAAGCTGGATTATGAAGGGGCAGAGGAACTAGAGACCAAATTGCTGGCATGCACTGGATTATGGAGAAAGCCAGAGAGTTCCAGATAAACATCTACTTCTGCTTCACTGAATACACTAAAGCCTTTGACTGTGTGGACCACATCAAAGTACAGTGGAACCTCTACTTACAGAAGTAATCCGCATTGGAACGGTGGCTGCAGGTCGAAAAGTCTGTAGGTCGAGTCTCCATTGACCTACAATGCATTTAAAACCGATTAATCCCATAACCGGCCGTTTTTGTTCCACTTTTTTTCCTGGTCTGTAGGTTGATTCTCCGACTTCAAGTCGAACCTAAATTCTGTGGCCAGAGAATTCTGTAACTAGAAAAGTCTGTAAGTCGAGCCGTCTGTAAGTCGAGGGTCCACTGCATGGCAAGTTCTTAAAGAAATGGGAGTGACCACCTTATCTATTTCCTGAGAAATCTCTATGTGGGACAGGAAGCAACAATTAGAACTGGATATGGAACAATTGATTGGTTCAACATTGGGAAAGCAGTACGACTGTATATTGTCTCCCTGCTTATTTAACTTATATGCAGAATACATGATGCGAAAGGCAGGATTGGATGAATCCCAAACTGGAATTAAGATTGCTGGAAGAAATATCAACTATCTCCAATATGCAGATGATACCACTCTTATGGCAGAAAGTGAGGAAGAATTAAAGAACCTCTTAATGAGGGTGAAACATAATGGTAAAGGTAAAGGTTCCCCTTGACATTTAGTCCAGTCTAGGGTGCGGTGCTCATGCCCGTTTCCAAGCCATAGAGCCAGGGTTTGTCTGTAGACAGTTTCCGTTGTCACATGGCCAGTGTGACTAGACACGGAAATCTGTTACCTTCCCACTGTGGTGGTACCTATTTATTCACATTTTTACAGTCGTGCCTCACTTTACGATTGCCCCATATAACAATGAATCCGCTTAACAATGCCTTGTTTGCGATCGCAAAACGATGCTTCCTATGGGCAAAATCCGCTGTGCGATTATAGGTTCCCTGCTTCGGGAACCGATTTTTTGCATTACGATGATCAGCGAACAGCTGATCGTTGGATTTCAAAATGGCCACCGGCTGAAGAAAATGCCCCCCCCTGCTGTTTTCTAGGACGGATTCCTCGCTAGACAGACACCGAAAATAGCTGCCGTATGGAGGATCTTTGCTGGACAGTGAGTTTTTAGCCCATTGGAAGGCATTAACCGAGTTTTAATGTGTTTTAATGGGTTTTTTATTTTCGCTTTATGATGTTTTCGCTCTACAGTGATTTCATTAGAACAAATTAACATCGTTAAGCGAGGCACCACTTTACATGCTTTCGAACTGCTAGGTTGGCATTAGCTGGGACAAGTAGTTTTTAGCCCATTGGAAGGCATTAACCGAGTTTTAATGTGTTTTAATGGGTTTTTTATTTTCGCTTTATGATGTTTTCGCTCTACAGTGATTTCATTAGAACAAATTAACATCGTTAAGCGAGGCACCACTTTACATGCTTTCGAACTGCTAGGTTGGCATTAGCTGGGACAAGTGACGGAAGCTCACTCCATTACGTGGATTCAATCTTACGATGTCTGGTCTTCTGACCTTGCAGCACGACCACGTCCCTTGGGAGGGTTAAAGAGGAGAGCGCAAAAATGGTCTAAAGCTCAACATAAAAAAAACTCTAAGGTCATGGCCACTGGTCCCATCACCTCCTGGCAAATAGAAGGGGAAGACATGGAGGCAGTGACAGATTTTACTTTCTTGGGCTCCATGAAAACTGAAGATGGTGACAGCAGATCCTGAAACTGAGGCTCCAAAAGTTTGGCCATCTCATGAGAACAGAAGACTCCCTGGAAAAGACCCTGAGATGTTGGGAAAGTGTGAAAGCAAGAGGAGAAGGGGATGACAGAGGGCGAGATGATTGGACAGTGTCATGGAATCTACCAAGATGAATTTGACCCTACTCCAGGAGGCAGTGAAAGACAGGAGGGCCTGGCGTGCTCTAGTCCATGGGGTCACGAAGAGTCAGACATGACTTAATAACTAAACAACAAGAGATGAGCACAAACCTCATGCCAGTTCATTGGTGTGGCACCATGGGTGTCAAGTGTCCCCCCCCCGGCCAGGTCCCCTACTCACCAACTGCTCTTCTCCTTCTCTTTGAGTGATTGTCCAGTCACCACAGCTCATGCTTTTCTCCTCCACCTTCCCCAGCAGCTGCCCACTCAAAGGGTGCACTGCAAGAATCCCTGCCCAGCCTCCTTGTCTGACTGGGTGGCTGCTGGAGAAGAAAGAAATAAGAAATCATCGAAAGGAAGCATGAGCTTCTGCTGAACAGGATGATTGTGTGAAGAGCAGGAGAAGAGTAGCACTAGCAGGCTGGTGAGTGGGGGAGCTGGCTGGGGGGGGAAGAGAACCTCCAAACAGAGGTTCATGCCCATCTTTAGTTGAGGGATATTAGGATATTGGAATAATAAAATTTGAGGTAAAATAATGTCCCAAGATGGAGACTGATACCATTGTTGTACGTACTTATTTATTTATTTATTTACTTACTTACTTACTTACTTACTTACTTACTTACTTACTTACTTACTTACTTACTTACTTACTTACTTACTTACTTACTTACTTACTTACTTACTTACTTACTTACTTACTTACTTACTTACTTACTTACTTACTTACTTACTTACTTACTTACTTACTTACTTACTTACTTACTTACTTACTTACTTACTTACTTACTTACTTACTTACTTACTTACTTACTTATATCCCTATCTAGTTAAAAGTCTACTCTGGGCTACTAAGAACAAGTTCAACAAATTCATAAAACAATAGCAATATAAAATAACAACACCAACATAATATGGTACAAGATGGCAAGGTCAACTAAGCAGTGACAGGAAGGAAGGCCTGCCTAAAGATCCAGCTCTTGAGTTTGCTCTTAAAAACGTCCAGCGAGGGAGCCAAGCAAATTTCTGGGGGTAGATTGTTCCAGATAAAAGGGGCCACCACTGAGAAGGCACAGTTTCTTGTTCTTTCTCTCTTGACCTCCCTTGGTGTCAGGCCCCTCAGCCATCCCTCCTGGCTAGAACGAGTAATACGGGTAGATCTAGGTGGCAGAAGGCATTCCACCAGATATTGAGGTCCTAAACCATTTAGGGCTTTATATGTCATTGTTAATACTTTAAAATCAATGTGGAATCAGACGGGCAGCCAATACAGAGCAGCCAGAGTGGGGGAGATATGCTGATGTTTTCTCACCCCTGTGAGAAGTCTGGCTGCTGCGTTCTGCACCATCTGTAATTTCCGCATCAATCTCAAAGGCAGACCCATGTAGAGTGCATTGCAGTAGTCTAATCTCGAGAGTACAAGCGCATGGACCAGAATGGTGAGCAACCCAGCATCAAGATAGGGACGCAGCTGGGCAATCTGCCTGAGATGGAAGTAGGCAGTGGGGACCACTGACACCACCTGTGTTTCCACAGTAAGCGCTAGATACAGGACACCCAAATGTACCATACCTCAACTTATTGCATGTGTTTCCACAGTAAGCGCTAGATACAGATGGACAGCCAAATGTACCATACCTCAAGTTATTGCAACAAACTTGCTATTTGTACCTTGGATTCTTGGATCATTTTTGAACAAATTAAAGTAAAATAATTTTCTTTTTAAAGGCACTGAATAAATTCATAAAG